GACAACTGTGGAAAGATTCCTAGCTTCGTGTCTGTGCTAAATGGCATGGCAAAACAATAATAATAGAAGCCTACATCTCTGGCTAAAGGGGCAATGCGCAAAAAGACAAGGCACGGAATTGCAAGGCTGGGATGCTGTGAGTATAGAACTAGGCACAGAATGAGTGAGAGGCCAGAAATGCAAATTGGTCTCGTCCATGAGTTGGGTGCATGTTCATGAGTGAAGAGTGTCCTTGCTGCAGCATTATAATGCTGGTGCAGCCCAATGTGCAGCACTGAAGTGCAGAAGAATCCTATAAGTGGAGTGGACATGTGCCACAAGGGTTCATAGAGGCTGGCACACGTTGAATGTCAATGTTTTGCTGGTGACCATGCAGTGAGTCCAAAATGCTGGTGCCCAGCATACAACATGGAGCTCTTTTTGAGAAAGTGGTGAGTTAAACCTGCCAAGAACCTATTTTAGTTTTCATGTTGAATTTGCTGATGGCTAGTTTGGCAAGACGGCAAACTGTGGTGAGTTGGCCTGTTAACAAAGCATTTAAGGTGCAATACTGAGCATAAATTGGGAACACACTGTCCCTGGCAAGAATCTCACCATGTCACTTCAGAGAAGCATACAAGATTTTTGACATGAAAATTTCAACATTACGATGGGCCTTGCCGACATCTCACCTGATTCTGCTGCACATCTCGGCAAGGCCCAGATTGTTCAAAGCCTGATACGATTCCACTTCTGCTTAAATTCTATAACTATGTACTTTCATTAGTCTACAAGAAGATCGACATATTCAGCTTGATTTAACAGTCTGATGTAAATGCAGTAAATGTATCCAGAAGACAGAAATCTTGACACTAATCCAGACTTTTTGTTTAAATTATAAGCAAAATACTGCAAGAAAAACTTACTTAGCCACAGAGCAGTTAGAAGGTGGAACACATTGATGGGCAGTCAGAAATTGCATCAGGGAGAAAGGAACATAGTCTATGCAAGTAATATTGATTAAAGTAGAGGCTCACATTAGACCATATGTATTGGCATAGACCACAGGGCCAAAGATGTGATTCTGTGTAAAACTTGATTAGCCTTATAAACTATATCCTCTACACAATGATGTATTAGACAGAGAAAAGAAAAAGCATTTTACGTTGGAGAATATGCAGCAGTTATTAAGTCATGCTTCTAAATATAAAATTCGGAGTGCACTAGAAAATTGAAACGCCAATTCAATTTTTTCAAACACTAAAGCCACATTCCAATGACTAAAACAAATAGGGAAAGATGGCTACAAATCTGCATTGCTGTACCTTATGCATTTCCAAAACCAATTAACTGAAGACAGCCTGAAAAGCCACACCAGGAACAGTGGCTTGTAAGGACATGACTGGGGGAAGTCATCTCTTATCCCATTATAGTGTTTAAACAATCAACTGGGTGTAGACAAACCACTAGACTTAATCAGTTAGACAATGGGGCTTTGGCTGAGAAATTCTCAGCCACGATCAGTTCACGATTTAAAAATCTTAGCCATGACTGCATTTCGATCACTGGACAGTTGCAGAGAGGATACGTGACAAGACAATCCTTTGTGTATTTAAGTACTTGCTTCTCAGCCATGATTTGGAGGTACTGGTGTTGGACTGGGGTGGACAAAGTCAGAAATCACATAACACCAGCTTTATTTATTTGAAAACACAAGCTTTCAGAGCCTCAATCCTTCTTCAGGTGTTAGTGAGAGAGGTAGTAACAGACACAGAATTTATACGTAAAAGATCAAAGGTTTTAATTAATTAATTAATATGGACAAGCAAATGAGACACTAACGCAAGAAGTCCCTGGAAGGGGAGGGGGTCATTTTTCTCTGTAATTAAGGATGCCCTCAACCGCATCTCCTCCATTTCCTGCACGTCTGCCCTCAAACCCCCTCCCCCCAATAGCAATAAGATTACAGTCCTCTTAGTACTCACGTACCACCCCACCAATCTCTGGATCCAACTCACCATCCTCCGATATTTCCACCTTCAACCAGACCCCACCACCAAAAAGATATCTCCCTCCCCACCCCTGTCTGCTTTCCGCAGGGACCGTTAATTCCCTGACTCCTTTGTCAGTTCTACACTCCCTACCAATTCCTCCACCACACCCGGTAACCTTCCCTGCAACCGCAAGATGTGCAACATCTACGCCTACACCTCCCCTCTGACTTCCAAGGCCCAAAACAATCCTTCCAGATCCGGCATTTCATCCAACCTTGTCTATTGCATCCGTTGCTCCCGATGTGATCTCTTCTATATTGGGGAGACCAAACGCAGGCTCGGCGACCAGTTTGCGGAACATCTGCACTCTGCACGCACCAACCAACCCAACCTTCCAGTTGCCGTCTATTTTAATTCCCCCTCCCACTCCTCTGGTGACATGTCCATCCATGGCCTCCTCCACTGTCAGAGTGAGGCCAAACGTAAACTGGAGGAACAACACCTGACATTTCACCATGGGAGCTTACAGCCCAATGGCTTTAACATTGACATCATTAGCTTCAAAATCCCTCCCTCCTTATCCTATGTCCAGCCCTACCCCACCTGACCTGACCTAAACTGTCCATCTATCCGTTCCACCCCTCCTACCGACGAATCACAATAACCCCCTCCCTGCATCCACCTATCACCACCTCTTCTACCCTTCCCGCAGCTCCAACCCCCTTCCCCTATTTATTTCTGGGCTCCCCTCCTCCTCCCCAGTCGTGATGAAAGGTTTCAGTCCAAAATGTTGACTTACCTGCTCTTCGGAGGCTGTCTGACCTGCTGTGCTTTTGCAGCCTCACACCTATAGACTCTGGCTTCCAGCGTCTGCAGTCTTTATTGTCTCTGGGTTATTTTTCTTTCTCTGCATCTAGGCCTCATGTTTTCAAAACCTGACTGCTGACTTTGATTACCTGGGATCTCCACAGACTTTAAAGAATGTCGTCTCCTGAAGAATTGATAAATTGCCTGACTACAACTTTAAACCAACTCATGCTGAAAGCAACAGATCCATCAGAAGAAAGCTCCAGGACCACCAAATTCAATGTGAAGCCGACTTACTCTGTAATCTGTGTGCATTTGAACTTTGAATATGTGTGAAAATCTGAGCATTTTATTATTTCACATAGACTGGGTTAAGTACAATTAAAAACTATCCTCAGCATTTTAAAGAAAACCGATTTAACTGTTTTGTGTTTGCTGTACGTAACAGGATATTCTTTTCAAAATGACTATTCCAGTTAAATGAGGAATGGGAATAGAGGGGAGTGACCTGTTCTCCTGACCCTATCACTTTGCAATGAGTACTGTAGGGTTTTTCTCCGTTGAAGAGATTGCTTTGGCAAATAATTATTATCAGAAAGTTACAAATCATTATCATATTCAGATTGCTAGCTAATAAAGCCCTATTTTACGACGTAAATATATCTTTTACAGAATGTGCCTGAATATAAGTACTGACTACAATCTTAGACATTCAGGAAGACCTGCTCTTTAGTGAAACCATGTTTTTTTTAAAATCGGGACTGTCTAACCTCCTGCAATGTAGTTTGCTTCTCAATAAAAAGGAAGGTTTCTATTCAACAGTATTTGATGACTGTAAAATGACAAAAATATTTGGTCTGGATAGGCCTTCCAAATTTTGTGATCGGATAGGGCATGTATTTATAGTAAAACATTTTCAAATTGTCAGAGATTTTGCATTTTGCATCATTTAAGCCATAATTCTGTATGAGATGATAGTGATATCACAGTTAAGAGCTCTGGCCTGAATTACACAACAGAACTTTGGTGAGGCAGAACTTATACAATTAACGATAGGGCCTTGGGGAGGGAGTGGTGCCAAACTGAGACCTAGGGGTGTAGGTGCATAGTTCCTTGAAAGTGGAGTCACAGGTGGACAGGGTGGTGAAGAAAGCGTTTGGCATGCTTGCCCTCATTGGTCAGAGCACTGAGTATAGGAATTGGAAAGTCATGTTGTGGCTGTGCAAGGCATTGGCGAGGCCAATTTTAGAAAACTGCATACTGTTCTGGTTGCCCTTCCAAAGGAAGGATGTTTTTAAACTTGACAGGATACAGAATAGATTTCCAAGAATGTTGTGGGCACTGGAGGGTTTGAGTTATACGGAGAGGCTGAATTGGTGGGGATTTTTTTCTCCTGGTGAGTTGGAGGCTGAGGGGTCACCTTAGAGAGGTTTATAAAATCATCAGGTACATGTACAGGGTCAAGGTCTTTTTCCTAGAGCGGGGGAGTCCAAAGCTAGATGGCATAGGTTTAAGGTGAGGGGAAAGATTTAAAAAAGACCTAAAGGATAACATTTTCACGCAGAGGGCGGTGAGTGTATGGAATGAGCTGCCAGAGGAAGTGGTGGAGGCAGGTACAATTACAACATTTAAGAGGAATCTGTACGAGTATATGATGGAAAGGATTTAGACGGATATGGGCCAAATGCTAGCAAATGGAACCAGGACAGATTGGGATATCTGGTCAGCGTGGACAGGTTGGACCAAAGGATTTGTTTCCATGCTGTATGACTCTATGACTCTAACTTCATGCTTGGTAAATTAAACTACTTGTCAACAAAAGCCATCACTTTGGTCTAAATACACCTTTCACATTCTTTTCTGTTCAGTTATTACAGGCCAAGGAACTCTATGGAGGTATTTAAGATATAAAGGCAGCAACACCAGTATACTGCACATATTACAGAAGTGCAAAGTAAGTCCCTATATATGGTATAAATTAAACAAATATTTCTTAGAGAGGATTACTGCATATCAGTGTTCATAACATTCATACCACATAAATTAGTGCATTTTTATGGCATCTTTCATAATCTCAGAATATACCAAAGTGCTTCACGGCCAAAGAAATATTTCTGAACTGTACTCAGTGGTAATGCAAGCCAAATTTTACACAACAAGATTGGGACAGACAAATATGAGATAAATTTGTTTTAGTTAGGCCGCTTAGCCAGGACATCAGAAGTCCCTTGTCCTGAATTACGTAATGTATTTATTTTACATTCACCCAAGACAGCAGACAGAGTTTTGGGTGTGATGTCTCATCAGAAAGACAGCAATTTCATCAGTGCAGCATTCCCTCAGTAATGCACTGAGGCTTCAGGCTTGATTTTTTGAACAAATCTCTACAGTGGCCTTGATCGTATATATTTCCAAATACCAGTCAGCCTAAGCAAAAACACAAAAACCGACAAGTTAGGATCTGGAATACATTGCCTGACAGGGTGGGAGAGTAGGGCCAACTCAGTTGCTCTTGAATAGACTTATCAGAGGCTAAAGGGCCTGCTTCTGTACTGAAACAATTGTATGATTTCAATTAACTGACTATTTAGAATACTTGCCCATAGACAGGACACTTTCCAATTATTAATCAACATAGCTGTTTCTCTTACGCCAATTCCTCCACCCATCAGGATAGAGCTTATTATTTAATATAGTTCTCACTAACTTGACATCAGGGATCTACTATTATGTGAGTAAAAGAACTTCCCATTGCAATATTTCCCATCTATCAATACTATACACGTATACGATCTGTAAAGTATGTAGTGTACTTTGGAAATGTTTAGTATGTACTATTTATAAAGATGATTTAATTTGCATCACATTTAGGGTTTGCTCATTCTGCATTGGATTTGAATCTGTTCAACCGGCACGCTAGATAAAGGTGTTTATTCTGTTCTGTGCATCACACTGAGTTCGAGACTGTCCTCATTAAGAGGAATTGATTATGATCGTAGCTGAATTTGAAAGTAATTGTAAAACTATAGAGAGGTAGTTGTTTCTCTCTGCACATGGTGTTACACAGAATATATTAACCCAACACTTTTTAGTGTCGTCATTTATGAATTGAGCCCATGTAGATAACAATATATAAACAGAGAAAGGTTTTTGTGCTCTCCTTGAGCTATTCCCTCATCTTCAAGGTCGAGTGGAGCAAGGTATACATATGTCTGAGACCCCCGATTGCTTAATGGCAGTGTAACCTCAAATTCCATATTACTGCAGAGTTGTTTACTTTGTTTATTGATGCTTCGATATTTTGGATTCACTCCTAGATGGCTTTTCTGAACTAAACACTACACAGAATGAGAATTAAGCAGAGCTGCTCAATGCTCTCAAATCCTCATCACAGTACCAAATGGATGAAAATTGCTTCAGGTCTAATATACAGAATTTGAACTCCTTAACTGCCAGTGAACCCACGAACTTGTGTTTATGATAATTAAAGCAGGTCTGTTCAGCCCCAGTAATTAAAGATTAAAGGAAAGACCTTTGCTGCAAATACGAAGAGAGCTTAGTCAGCTTGAATGCTCCTATAATGGTCCCTTTTAATTTACTGCTAAAAGATCAAACGTGTCTTTTAAAGTTGAATATGCACATCCTTTACATTTTTTTTATTTCTATGTATTAATTCAATTTATCTGTTTTTTCCAGACCTCCACCTCCTGCTCTGCCACCAACCCTCACCCCTCCTACATACACACGCACACATACAAAATGCAGCATTGTCTAGTCAAAAGAAATGGGAACTGATCTGCTTCTACATCTCTGTTAATCTTGGCATTAATCTACTCACCAGGAGACCGTGCAGACATTGACCTTCCCTCTGGGGAATGTGATTAAACTCCACTCTCCTCTGTAATATGGATAACATCAGGGTTGCTAGAAAGGCAATTTGTGGGCACGATTCAGAGTTGTACCACACTGCAGCATATATAGCACATTAAAACCAGCTTGCTAGCAGCTTATACCATATCAAATCTGTGACTTAGAGGGAAGGTTTTGAATCAAAACTGTATTTACACAACAGGTTTAGTGGTTATGTTAAGCAACTTCAGTAGTGAAGTGGCATTGAACTTGTGACTGTAAATTGGTAATAAAGAACCAAGCTGAAAGGTAAGCAGAGTAAGACTTACTTCTCTAAAGGGTATCACCTACATTTTAGTGTCAGATCAGGCCACCATATACATTCATGCCATTACGCTATTGAAACAAAGCTGCTTTGCAGATACTACAGATGTAAGTGTGAATGTATAGAGAACTCTTGCTTTTCCTTAGCAATCGCTTTCTTGTTACTGAGTCAGACAGTTTTGGGTGGAACTGGACTTGAGGAACTTAAACATAAAATCCAGTCTGACACTCTGGTGCATTAATGAAGGATTGTTGCTTCAGAACTCTCAGACAGAACTCTCATTTTCAGCTCCCATCTGCTTTATTAGCTGGATGGAACAGATCCTATGGCACCATTTAAAGACAGAGAGAGACAGAAGAGGGGAGAGAGAGATAGCATTGTTATAGTGTATTATCTAACATTTATTCCTCAACAAATATCAGCAAATCAGATTATTTAGTCATTTATTTGATTGCTGTTTGCAGGATCTTACGCTACGCAATGTAACTGCAGTATTTTTCTACATTGCAGCAGTGACTAACCTTTAAAATTACATAATTGTTTGTGAACCATTGGAACATTCTGACATCATGAAAGATGCCAAATAAATACAAACTCTCTCGTTCTTACAGCAGTTTGTCTTAAGGACTGCAATATGTTCCAGTAAGCACAAAGTGAAAGTGCTGCCACATGCTCTGCCAAGAACAACAGTGAAGCACTCTAATCCTTATGTTCCTAAATTTATCTACATTTTTTTCTATACCTTCTGATTGCTCACTTCTCACTTCGCAGTTTAGAAAACAAGCTGTCTTTCTTTGTTTTTACATCAACAAGCTGTCACTTTTCAAGTTCAAATTCTTTTTTGCCGTAAGATATACCATCCAGATATCCAGCTACAAATTGCCAAAATGCTTTTCTACCCTCCATCAGCTTCAGGTCATCCCAAAACTCTGCTGCCCATGTGTTAATGTACGCCAAATCCCATGCACCTATTGCCCCAGCACTGCTTGAACTACACTGGCATCCAATCAAATAACGTCTTAATTTTAGAATTTTCATTTTTGTTTTCAAATTCCTCCATGGTCTATCCCTATAATCTCCTCCAACCCCAACAACTCTCTGATATGTGAAAGGTTTTCTAATTTTGGCCACTTCAGAATCCTTGATTTTAATCATTCCACCCCTGACAGCTGCACCTTCAGTTGCTCGGCCCTAAGCTCGAGTCCCCACCTTGAACCTCCACCCCAGTCTACGCTGTTTTCCTCCTTTAAGATACTCTTTAAATCCTACCTCTTTAACCAAGTATTTGGTCACCTGACCTAATACCTCCTTATGTGCCTCAATATCATATTTTGTTTTACAATGCTAATGGAATCCTTTATTATGTTAAAGATGATACATAAATAAAAGTTCTTGTTGTTGAAACATGGATATAACAAGAGTGTCAACCAGTGCTTAGCTCCAGGGTCATAAATGAGTGCAATACCACATGTATGTACAATGACTTAAGAGATATCATTGTCCCAAATGTTGCTGTATCAGAGCTGAGACTATTTTTAATTGTTGGAACAAACTGCTTTGGTTTTAACTCTTACCCAGCAAACAATGTGCCTTCCTACACAGAATTTTGATGTTACTAAGTCCCTGACTATTCCTAAATCAAGCTTTTCTCTTCAATATTCACAATTGAAATAGTTCTAACAAAGATTTCTGTAATTCCATTTCTCGACTTAAATTCAAAGGGCAAAACATACCTGATAATTTGATTTTTTCATTTAAAGAGAGATAAACAGTTTTACTATATATGGCCTCCAAAGTAAATCTCTGATTACAAAATAAATTATGGGTTATCCTTTGTGTATTCAGTGCAGTTACTCCCACTGTGAAAATTTTAATATTCAATCAGATTTAAGTATAAATAATGAATAATGAACTTTTAAACAAAACTGTGCTCTAGTCAATGCATTTGTTTCATGAAGTGTAGGAAATAAGATGGCAAGGTTCAACATAATTTAAAATGCAAGGCAGTGTTCTAGTCTTTGGAGTCAAAATTTCAATTAACCAATCTTTATTGTCTTAGATTTTCATGTAAGAGCTACAGAACAATAATAAAATAAGTTAAAAATTATGACAGGGTCCAACAGCTGTGAACAGCATAGGTCAGCAACAAATTACAAAGTTTTGATACGAAAACTTCAATAAGAAATTCAAACTAAAAGCTGGGCTACTGGATTTAAATGATTACATAACACACATGGTTCTGTTGGATTTTTGATTTATCACAAATAATCCTCTCATCTCATAATCAAGATAGTCTTGATAGCATAAACTCATTTTTGATGGTAAGATAGACATTTCATTAATATATTATTATTCACTATACTGCTCAATACCAAGAGCTCAGTTAGCCATTATTTCTGGAATGCTGTGGGACTTTGGCAAAACCTTTCACTATAACTTTTTTTGAACCCAGCCACTTTTTGAAATATCTCTAACGACTATCATTATGACAATGATGAAAAGGAAAAAAGGGCAGAAACTGGAGATAAAAGAAGGTGAATTATTTGAATCACTGTTCTTAGCAAAATTATGTATGCATTCCTCTATTTTTACTACCCATTGCAAATATAACACCATCTGCTTTTATAGAGCTTTTACCCGAGCAATACACTCAACAGAACTTCACCAAGGTATAAAGAAAAAAATAATGGATACTGAGTCAAAGAAAGAGAGGCTAGGAGAGGGTAGTCAAACTGGTAGGTTTTCAACTGTTGTAAAGGAGCGGTGCAAGGTGAAGAGTCAAAGAGATTTACAGAATAATTTCCAGAGACAAGGCTCAGGAAACTAAATGCACAGATATCAATGATCTAGTGAGGGTAAGTGAAGAACACACAGGAAGCTTGATCACAAGGTTGGGCAGGGTGGAACTATAGCGCTGGAGAAGGGTACAGAGTCAGAGAGGGGCTTGGGTCCTGAACATTGGTAGAAACATTCTGGCCATGCTGCCAGAAAGCAGTCAAAACAAGCAAAAGTAATACCATCATGTTTCACAATGAAGAAAAGGTACTGGTGTAGGATTATGTAATCAACGACGTTCCAGGCTGCAGATAAGTTAAGGGGAGACAATAAACCATTGCACAGTCAAAAGAACTTCAATTGTGGCTTTGGTTAGGGCAATTCTGGGAGCTCAAAACCTGATTACAGGGATTTGGGGAATTTGCAAAGGCAGCAATAGTTTTTGAAGGACAAATAGCCATGTTTTCTTGGGGATGGCGTGTATTGGTGGAAGTGGCATTGGTGAAAGTAGTCTTGAAAGGGAGAAGCCATCATCTAAGGAGAGCCATTTAATGAACTAACATGGGTGTCATTGAAGGAAACTTGGTGGGCTCTGAAATGGGACTGAAGGAGAAGGTGATGGCTCTCAGGGTTGAGAATTGTTCTGAGAAGTAATGGGGAAAGGTATGACGGTGATTGGAAGATACGATGGTTGGGTTTCAAAGTTCTGTTTAAGTATCATAGGGGAATATTCTCACTCTTCAGCTAGATATGAAAGGAATGTAGTTGGAAGGGGACTGGAGACATGTGCGGTGAGGATGTAAGGAAACAACTAGTGATGGTTTCAGAAATGACTCAGCTCATAGGATTAGAGAGACCTTGGGAAAGGTGAGGCTATGAATATGAATGACAGATTATAAAGAAGTAAAGCAAGATCATGAATATGCTGAATTCAGAGGAAGGTTTGTACCAGAAATTGAGATGGCAACTGAAAATATGGAGACCTTTATGATTTTACTGCATTTATTTTCTCATAGCTAACCTACATTTCAACAGATTTGAATCTAACACATATTCTGCTCCTGTGAAATCATAGATGGAAACATAACTTTATACCACAAACAGGCTATTTAGTCCTACAAGTCAAAATTCCATACAAGCCTTCTAACACCTAACTTTATCTCATTCAAAAAACATATTCTTCTATGCTTCCTGTTCATGCACTTACTGAGCTTCCTCTTAATTGTATCTAGCTAACTGCCTCAACCACTCCATGTGATGAGTTCCTCATTCTCACCACTTTCTGAGTAGAGCAGTGTTTCCTCAATTTATTTTTAATGACTACCTTATACTAAAGTTCCCAGTTTGACAAACTCACGTGGTCACTGTTTGTCTATACCTACTGCATAGAACTACTTCATAATTTTAAACACCTGAGTCAGGTCACTTCTCAGTTCCCTCTTTTCTCAAGTAAGAAGTTCCACTCTGTTCAATCATTCCTCTCAGTTCTGTTATCACCCTTGTATCTTTTTTCGTCTTGCTCCCATGTTTTTAAAACATTTTTGCAATGGTTGGGGTGGGCAGTTGGATTTGCATGGTACTCAATATGTGATCCAACCAGGATTCAGCATAAATCTGTCATTTTTTTTTCTGACTTCTATTCTGTGAATATCTTCACTGCATTAAATGCAATGACTCAAGTTGACTCGCCATAGTTTTTCCAAGGTGATTAGGAAGGTCAAAAATGCTGTTATTGCTGGCACAGCCTACATCCCATGCATGAATTAAATAATAAACCATTCCTCTGGAATATATCCCAATGCGTTATTTGCACTTTTTATGGCTTTGCTACAGCAACCAGATGTGTTTTTCCTGTTCTCTCTGTTACACTTTTGGAAGTGCTCTGCCAGTGACCTTGCTATCTCCAAGTCCTTTCTTTCCATTCTATGCCATGCTAGTTTTTTTTTCCACTGCTTTCAAAAATATCAACATTCTC